ATACTTTCTTCGAGTCCGTCATACCGTTCGTGGGTGATCGATCTTTTGAGCTTGTAAGAGGCAGTGAAATTGATGTCGTTGATGGAGGCATCATCGTTGCCGCCAATAATCATATTGATGGTGCGGGCCGGTGAGGGCAGCTTCAGTGGGCCTTGATGTTCTCGACCCCTGGCGAAGGTGTTCCTTCCCTTGTCGCTCAGCAGCTCTTTGAGGTGCCCTTGCTGCAACATGTTCACTACCTCTTACCTTAGGGCGATGCAATCTTCTGTTTTGTGCTTGCATTCCTGGTGGAATTCGTAGAGGGCATCGAATTTTCTGGTGTTTGGATCGGACCTCATCTTTGGAAGCAAATTCACCTTTGTTCCGAGTTTCTCCAGGGCATAGACTATTTCTGTAGGTGAAACAAAAAAGTTGTGAGCGGATAACAGGGGGCATACCTCTCTCGTTCCTGTGAGCCCCCGTTCTCGGCCTAGGTAGACCATCATCATAGCGGGAGGAAGGAGGGACGAGGGCTCTGACGTAAGGATGATGTCGTTCTCTATTTGGCCATAAGATTGGGTGATCCCTCCTCATGTTATCTCTTCGTTCTTTCCTGGGTTCGGCTTGCACCGAGATGAGCCGTCGAGTTGGTCTGTTGAGGTCGTCATCATCTGCCCGAACTTTGGCACAATAGACATTATGGATTTTGTCCAAAGTGATTGGAGGGTATTTCATCAACCGGCTTAGCAGCTTTCTGGTCGCTCTTGAACCCTCTCAGCTCAACCCGTTCTAAAAGGCTGCGACTGCCATCCCTTCAGATACATTTGGTAAGGTCATCATTACCCTGTTGAATCGGGCGAGGAAGTCCCTTAGTCCCTCTCATAGGGATTGCTTGATAGTGAAGAAGTTGTTTACTCTTATTTCGGCTTTCTTGGCCCCGGCATGCGCCGTCACGAACTTATATGTCATTTCTTCGAAGGTTTCTATGGAGCGGGTTGGTAGCTGTGAATACAATGTTAATGCCCCTCCAGTAAGGATTTTACCGAATTTCTTCAACAAAATGGAGGACATATGTTCCTTGGTGAGGTTGTTACCCTTCACGGCGGTAACGTAATGAGTCACGTGATCTTCGGGATCGGTTGTTCCGTTGTATATCTTGAGATATGGTGCCATTTTGAAGGTCTTTAGTATGGCATGTGGGGCTGCTTCCTCTCTATATGACTGCTCTGCAAACCTGCTGGCATCCCTCTTTGGCAGTAGCTTAGGGGCGCCTTGTATCTTGTCGACTCGTTCATGGTGTTCTTTCATTTGGTCTCTCAACCTTTTGTTCTCATTCTTCATTTCTTCCATTCTCTTTAAAACAATGGCGAGGACGTTGTCACCTTCACTGTCAGTAATATTGTGAGTTATACGTGGCGTTGGAGGGTCTAGTTGATCATGTTCGTCTCCTCGCTGTACTGTGTAAGTTCTCGCGGTTTCTATCGTCGTGCATAGAGCTTGTTTGTTGAGCACGCTTACTAATGTATTGGACAACCACGCTTCGAGGAGTTTTTTCATGACAGGTGGCGTCCCTTCTCATGTGGATGTGGAGGCCCCTTTTCAATTTGGTTTCGTTGTGCTACAATGATAGGGAGGCGACCTCTTGCGCCTGGGGGAGGCAGTGGGTGTTACATCATCGCCCAGCGTTTCATAACTCTCATTGATAACGTTCATGAGGTTTCCGGGATGTCACCTGTCACCTTAGTTCTATCTCATTGGTTACCTGCCATGTAAATTTCTATACGTGCAGAGAAGGAGAAAATTTTTGTGGTTTGTTAGTTTAGCAAAAATCACGTGAGTTGTTGATCTAGTGAAAACTAAAAGATTAGCTAAGAAATCCCTACAGACGGACCCAAACTGTTTGACCCAAAATTTAGATCTGGGCTTAGACAATTAGATTTAATAAAATAGAGTCAATCTTAGCTAATATTAATGTTTAAAAGATATATTAACTAATTTTGTAGTAAGATAATACATATATTATCCAAGTAGCAATAAATGTTGATAACACTAGTAATATTCAATGATCCAAAAAGAAGGGGATAACATTAAATAACAATAGCAATGAAGGAAATTTAAGTAAATAAGAAATGTGAGTTATCCGAAAAGGGTGAGATCTGTTGATGTTCTTTCTGACAATGATGAATGATTGATGAGCCTTCGAATATTCAGATTATTCTTGGATCGAGTGGAAAAGTTAGGCAAGAATCTTAGGAAAAAGGTATATTTTGTACGTGTGCAATAAGGCAAGATTCTACGGAGAAAAGTCAATATGTTATCTTACAAGTGAATCTCCTCCTTCCATAACTATGTCCCTCTATATTTATAAGGGAACATATATCTATAAACCTTAATTGTACAAACCTAGAGAATATTCATAGGAATATTCTTTCTAAAGTCTTGTCGAAAACTAGTCGTGATGACTCCTCCTTGGCTTGTGATGACTCCTCGGCCAACTCCCTCGTCTCTCACTAGATCACTTCGACCTTGGATTCGCCTCTTTGCTGAAGGCATACTGATGACACGTGGAAGCTCTCGAAGGCCCTCTTCTAGATAGAACTAAGTCAATTTTTGACCCATACAACTACATAGCCCCCAAAAGTATATTTCAATCCTAACATACCATTCAGAGCACTAGTATCAGATGAGGCTTTGGACACAGGAAGAATAAATTAATGAGTCATGATTGGGATTATTCAAAATTTACTTGGGTAAGATCAATGGAATAATTTGAACTAAAAAGTGGGTTATAAAATTAACATTTTTTCAACTGTTAGCTTGTCTTTTTATTTTTGTTTATAATATAAATCAACTCACACTGATTATTTTTAAAACTTTGAAGTTTCAAAGTTAAAATATTTAATTTGATGTAAATAGGAAGTACCTTTTATTAATATATATTGTTAAAGAAAGATAGACACTAAAATTAAAATAGAGGTGAGTAATAAACTAAACCATTAATTCATCAGATTTGGTGAGAATTTAAGATGGACCTCATATTCATTTCCAGTAAATTAAAAAGCCAAAAGCTACTAAAAGAAGAAATAAATGAAAGAAGAGCAACATCAAATGGCATCCATGCACAGAAAAAGAGCCCAGACACACTTCACTACTGACTTCACCGTTCTCCTCCGCCGTCTCCACCATTACCACCTCCTCTTCGCCGTCTCTGCCCCTTAAACTAAACGACAACGACTTCAGCGGAACCAAGAACCTTCCCGTAGGTGGGACCAACAGATGAATCAGCATTTGTGGCCTGCCGGAAGGTCTCCAAACTTGCACCGTCAAAAACTGTATAGGATTATTCTCCAGAAGCTCCGTCATATCGCCACCGCCCTTCAACAAGTCGGAGAGCAAAACGCGAGCACTTTCTACCGGTTTTTCTCCAAGATGGCCGTGAGCGTAAATGTGCACGTTTAAAGCTGCCATGATGTCATTTTCCGGTAACATTTCGTGGAACTTTACTTTCACCACGTGGTTCCAGATGGGGCTGGTTCCATCTTCGCCGCCGAGCTCCGCCACCTTGGTTTTCGCCACGTGGACGTCCCTCTCCACGTAAACCTCGGCGTAGGTCCTCATCTTGGTCAAGTGCTTCACCTTCTTCAGGTCCTCAGCGGAGTATTTAAGAACTTCTATCTAACTCAGCCGCTTCTCCGGCGGTGACCTCCTCCGCCGTAAATGTGATTCAGGCATTAAGGAGAAGACAGTGAATTGGAGCTGATTAGCAGAGAACTGTGAAAGTGATGCTTTCTCAGCGTTTGTTGTTTTGGCCCTTAGTTTTTTTGGTGCAAGTTATATAGATCTACACGACTTACCCAAAAATGGTTAGGAAGCAAAAGATTTAATTTGAAATACGTACAGTGGCTGAATAGGATTTCTGTTAACTATTCCTGAGTGGATTCGGTAATTAATTTTTCCCCGTTTTTACACTATGGGATCACCATAAACTAATGTCAAATTTTATTTTGGAGGGTTGTGTATTATGAATGATATTATCCTCAGATAACAAAATGGCATGCTACATTATTCTGCGCACTATTAGGCTAATGTTAGAAGTGGGATACAGTCGATGTTGAATGATAAACAAAAATTCTATAGATTTTAGAAGTCTATCGATCAGAATTTGCCATCCCAAGTGGCCCTTCTCTAAAGGAAAAAAAAAAAAGGAAAAACAAATACAGTACAAGCCTACATCGTAAGCTTTTGGATTAAGGACGGACGAGGCCTGTAAGTTATTAGGGTCAAATAATCAATAGCTAGATTTAGGATATGCCAATCGGTATAAAAGCAGGGGAGAAACTACCCTTAAATGTTTGACAAGGTTATGACTTACGACTTTAATTGGAAGAATGTGATATCGCATCCCACATCGACACACAATATTCGTTTAGACATTTGGGGGCAATTTGGTTACCGGGATTAAAAGAGTTGCACCAATATAAATATTCGGGTGTTTACACAGAACGATACTAAATTATCATTAAGATGAAAATATATATAATTAATTATAATTTAATAATTACCATATTTATATAAATATATGCCAATTGGTATAAATATCCAATGCATGTGTTTACTTATTGGTACTCGTGTTGTCTCCCATTCCTCCATCTCTTAACTGGCATCACATAGCCACCAGTGCTAAACCATTATAATATTCTTCACATTCACAAGTTACACGTGGATTCAATTTCAGTAACTTTGTTTGAAATTTGCATCATAATAAATACCTTAAAAGCAGAAGGGAGAGGAAGGAATGGGAAAATGGAGAGAGAAAATTAATTACTGTTAAAAAGTAAAAGGGAATTTATAATACCATCAAAGATTCCATGGCCCAATGGATAAGGTGCTGGTCTACGGAACCAGAGGTTCTGGGTTCGATCCCCAGTGGAATCGCATTTTGCTTTTGCACAGAAAGACATTTTCATTCTATCCCTCCTTTTGCATATGAAAAAATTCATGAACTCATAACTTTAAAAATATGATAAGTTCAATACTAAAATACCCATAGAGTTTAAATCTCGAATCCGCCTCTAGCAGACTGTAATAACAGTGTTGAAGAAATTTCTTTTTTTAGTCAATTAAAAACAAGAGACGGTCAAGATCTTTTCCACTAAGATTACAAAGAATCCTTTGTATATGATACAGAAGCAAGTCTATATTGGAGCATTCTCGATCATAATTGAACTCAACCACTTGAAAGAAAGTTCACGACTTCAATGTGCTAGATGCATCCCCCGCATTAAGTGGCCAAAGCTGCTTCTTCGATTCACCAAACTCAGGCTCGTTCAAATGAAATGGTGATTCAAACTTCCAACTTCAAAAACACCTGTCAGCAAAATCGAGGATGTCCAAATGTCAGGCCCAAAAGAATTATGGCTAGTTATTGCTGCCCAGATAACCGACCTATCAAACAATCAATTTTCTACTGTTTTCTACAGCTTCTGAATAAACTAGAATCCACAATACCTTAGTACTCCACTAAAAAGTCATGAATGTTAGATTACATGAACAATACAAAATGGCATCATAGCAAATATTTCTTCAGTGATCTTAGAAAACTTATTCCTAACATGCCTCAAAAGAAATTTAACAAGTATTCCAACAATATGGAATCCAATACACTACCAAAATCAACAAAGCTTATAGTCTAGTGGTATCACCAAGAATCTTCCACACAATAAGTGCGAGTTCGACTGCCACCACCCCTTTCCCCTTTCCCCTTTCCCCTTTCCTAACCCCCCTATGTAATAGAAAAATAAAGTAAAAAAATACACCGCCAAATATGTTCAAAGACTTGTTAAGACTCATTAACAAACACAAACATTTCAGTAACCGAGAAATCAGTTAGTCCCCAATATGACTACGTACTTAATTCAATTTCTTTCGAATCACTTTCAATTGTAGAGACAAATAACAAGCACAGCTATGAGCTATCAAGGCCCAAAACACCCATATTTCCTGATGTCAGTCGGGAAGAAACCAATAATCTGCCGGTTTCATTTGGAAACTTCAATAACTCCGTTGAAAATTTGGTGTAAACAAAATACTTGATAAGGAAAATAAAGATGAAGTTCTTCCAAATAGAATTGGTGTCACCAATCACTATGAAGTTTATAGGAAGCTAGCGACAATTTCACTCTTTTAGATGCTTAAGTTGAAGAACATTCTAGTCGATTATAGAAGTTTACCTACTCTGATCTATGTCTGCTCTGCCTTGGAAGCCTTCAACTTCTCAAGCTGCTTGCGGAGATAAGCCTGCTTTAGTTTTTCTCGACGTGCTGCAACTTGTTCTTGCCTACGGAGCTTGAGTTCTGATGCTTTTTCCCTTGCTTGACTTGCTTCTTTATGAACTTCCCTGAGAACAGCAACATGCGATGCAAATATAAGTAGATAAATGTTGTGAACAAATTGCATAGTGCAGAGAAAAGAAACTGAAAAAGCAATAAGTGAAGACTTCTTAGCAAACAATTAAAGATAATTTCTGTACTTTTCTACTTTAATGATCAACTCTTAGCTCAGATAGAAAATTAGTTCTCAAGCAGCATGCTAGAGAAAAGGGAAAGAAAAATAAACAAAGACAAGAATAGGAAGGAGGAGAGGGGTTTCCTTTAAGCTCACAATCATGAACAAGCTAAGATACCTAGGATTTTATGGCACCCAAACTCCCAATCATCAAAATTCAGTTCTTGTATTATTTCATTTTTGATGTATACTGTTAAGTGTTTCTCTGTTCTATGTTTATTTATGGGATCCGGTTCCCCTCAGTGTTTGAGTACATGAGCAAGTACCATCCTGATGATTGATAGGTTCGTAATCCTTCTATCACAATTGAGTAGCCATTTTATATTCCAAAAGCTATTAAATACTATTTAGCAGAAAATGCTTGCAATAAATAATGCTACACACAAGTTACTCTTAAGTGTATAATTAGCAACACATACATTACAAAACGCTTATGTTCACTTCTGTCGAATGTGCCAGCTTGGCGGCCAAGTCCTGCAGCTTTTGTGTCTGACAGTAGGGAGGTATCATCATCTCCATCTTCATCTCTTAGTTCTGTGCTAGAAGTATCGTGCCGTTGAGACAGCTCAGAGTCCTGCTCCTGGCCCTTCCGAAAGAAATCAACACAGTACTTCTCTTCGTCCTCCCCGTCAGAAAGCTCACCCTTCACCAGCTTATCATACAACTTAGCCTTTCGTTCTAAGGCAGCATAGCTTACTGATCCATCTTTGATCGCTTTCATCTCAAGCTTGTCCCTTCAATGAAGAAAAAATAGACATGAATTAAGCCTTTATACACTGTCACAGAAATATTAACATCTCATAGCAAGTCATGCATATGCCTAAAAACCCAGAAGGTTACTGCTTCTCTATTAAAACCAACTTCTCCATGCGAGGTTGTTTCTTCTCTAATTTAATTAAACAGTCCCCACCAAGCAATTTGCTCAGGAGAGACTACTGACAAATACAAACATGATTTGATTCTTAAAATTCCCTGTACCCATATAAAATTGGAGCACCAGTGAGCTAATTACTCTAGCATTTCAGATAATAGCCTTGGAGGTTTTCTGGGCCACAGGCCTCATAAGGCACCAATCCGCTGCCAGAGCAGTCCTCCACCCACGGCTTTACAGCTATGCCTTACAAAAAATATGAATACCAAAAGCGTAAACATCTGCAGTACTTCAGCAAATTAGACCAAAATAATATAGAATCCAGTTTCAACTCATGTTTCAATCAATCAGAACAAAATATAAATTTGGCCCTAATTTCCAAACCCCACAACTGTATAAACCTATAAAGTTCCATATCTCTTGCTAATGGCCGTACTTAGCAATTCCAGTCTCTACTAACAAAACCCTGAAGCTTATCACATATGCAAGAGACTTTAAAACCAATTCCAATCTCAATTATCACTGAATTTTTGGGCTTACAAGCTTAAGGCAGATTGCTAGAGGATGTCAGTTTCCACTCTCTGATAGTATCAAATTATTATTAATACATTCTTATTTGACCAAACCAGATTCCAACCAGCTCGATTATGAGCATAAAAATTGAAAACAAGTATAAAACTTAATTAACAAACAAAATAGGGCAAGGGAAGGAGAAAGTATACTTGGCCTCTCGGGCATCAACCCCATGATTCTTAGAGGAAAAGGCGTCCTTAGCGGTGATTTTCTTCTTGGCGCGGTGGATCTCCAAATGCGAATAATTTGGGTCAGCAGCAGAAGGGTGGACGGTCTCTTTGGAAAGGCGTTTGGACTCTTCTTGAGATTTGTATAACTGGGCTTTAAGCTCAAGGATGGAAGAAGCACCCACCCCCTCGATTGGTCGGTGCTTTTTGGGCATGATTGTGGATTCCGTTAGCCATCCTAACGACTCCACAACCACCCTCTTCTTCTCCTTATTATTCTCTCCTTCTTCCCCCATTGACAAATTCACACACACAGACCCTTTTGGCGTTTGATTGATGTATATATGTATTTGATTTTGATCGTTCTAGTTATTTCTCTGCTTCTTCTCTCGCTGTGGTTTGAGTTTTTTGGGGGGATTAGGATTGAGGAGTGGGGAAATTTTGGAGCCTCTGTTTTGAAATACCACATTTTATAGGGACTTTCTTAGAAAAGTTATTTTCCTTATTTTCTTTTCACCCTTCTAGACCATTTTTTGGCGAAGGGTCAAATATACCCTTGCACTTTCGAAAATGATCTAAGAATACTCTTCGTTATTCTATTGGGTTATTTATACCCTTGCTGTCATACTTGGACTCAAATATACACCTCATTTAAACGGAGCGACACGTGTCATCGTCCTGTTGCCAATTCTAAATCTCCTAATTAATTAAAAAAACTATTACCCATACCCGAAAAGTAATTTTCTAAAGCAATTTTTTTTTTATAAAAACTTAAAAAACTGAATTTTTTTTTCTAAAAACTGAAAAAACGAAAATACTTTTTTTTCTAGTTTTTACAAAAAACCTTCTTTAAAAAAAACTTTAAAATATTTTCTAAAATAATGTTTTTATAAAAACTGGAAAAAAAAAATTTGAAAAGCAATGTTTTTGTAAAAATTAGAAAAAACTGAATATTTTTTTACTAAAAACTGAAAAAATCGAACATATTATTTTTCAATTTTTAGAAAAATATTGCTTTAAATAAAACTGAAAAATAATTTCTAAAGTAATTTTTTTTGTAAAAACTAAAAAAAAAATTGAAAATCAATTTTCTAAAGTAATGTTTTTGTAAAAACTGAAAAAATAAATATTTTATTTTTTTCCAGTTTTTAGTTAAAATAATTTCAGTTTTTTCCAGTTTTTAATTTCTTTAGAAAATTGCTTTTCAGTTTTTACCAAAATATTATTTTAGAAAATATTTTTCAATTTTTTTAAAAGCAGTTTTTTTATAAAAATTGGATTTTTTTTTTGTTTTTTTCAGTTTTTAGTAAAAAAAATTAAGTTTTTTTCAATTTTTACAAAAAAGAATTGCTTTAGAAAATTGCTTTTCGGGTATGGGTAATGAGTCTTTTTAATTAATTATGAGATATTTAGAATTGGCCAACAGGACGATGACACGTGTTACTCCGTTAAAATAAGGGGTATATTTGAACCCAAAGTATGACTGCAGGGGTATATAACCCAATAGTATAATGAAGGGTATTTTTAGACTATTTTTAAAAATAGATGGGTATATTTGGACCTTCTTCGTTTTTCTTTTTAGGGGTACTCCTGGGCCGTAGCTGGATAGGGCTAAAACAAGATGTAAAAGAGTGAAATTGTAAAGATGTTTTCATTCGTTCCTTCCATCAAACGTAATTTTACTCATTTTTTTTCTTTTATTAAGGCTTCAAATAATTGAAAGACACGTAAGAAATCTATCTTTTACACCAAAGAGATCTAAAAATAATACTTTCTTAATTTCAATAATGTAAAAAATCATAAAGGCCTATTTCCTCCGATAGAAATATGCTACACCTTGTCTATTTAACTTTCAATATTTTTACTACTATAAGTGATATGTCTTTCTTCTAAGGGTAGCAAGTGGGCCGGTCCTTGCCCGGGACCGCAGGCCAAACAGGTCAGGACCGTTTGGCCCGATTTTAGTGGGCTTGGGCCGGTTCTATGCTTTGGGCCTGTCTCGTGGGCCGGTCCTATGCTTTGAGCCCGTCAGGACCGGGACCATTTAGCCCGCCAGGGATCGGATCGGAACCAGACCAGTCTCTTAGCGGGCCAAACAACTATATTTTAATAAAAAAAAATATAGTCTTTGGGCTGTCAAAAATAGTCGTTGGCTATTTATAAAATAGCCATTTAACCCCCACCCCCCAACTTTGTTTTAACCCCAAACTTTTTATAATTACATTTTTTCCCTATTTTCAACTATAAATACCCCTTCATTCTTTCATTTTCTTACAAAATCATCAATCTATCACAATCTCTCTCTAATTTCCTTCTATAATTATTACTATTGTTTACTTTATTGTTACTAAGTGTATAATATATAAGCTCTATATATATATATATATATATATATATATATATATATATATACTATACTATACTATACTATACTATATTATACTATATGTACATCTTATATAGCTTATATACTATACACTTAGTATATATATACTTTTTAGTAGTAACATGAAATGACCAAAGTATGGTACTTTTTAGGTAGTATAAATATGGAATGATAGAAGATCAAGTTTTAACTCAACTCAGTTTTAGTTGAAACTGTAATCTAAGTTGAGCTAAAACTTTATCTTCTATCATTTCATATTTATATCAGCTAAGAAGTACCATACTTTCGTTATTTCATGTTACTACTAAAAAGTATATATATATATATATATATATAAGATGTATATATAGTATAGTATATAGTATATATATAAGTTATATTTGATAAGCTATATTCGATATTAAATATTGAATGTTAAAATTTAGGATGTTAAATAAAATTTAGGCCACAATTCTATAATAAAATTTACAAAGCATTGCTTTAGATCTTTTTTTTAATATCCTTTTGTCTCTAATATCTATTTAATTTTTTTTTTAAATCTATTGAGCCCACTTAGCCCATTTAGCCCGCGGGCCGGGACCGTTTAGCCCGGGACCAAACGATCCCGATCCCAGGCCGGTCCCTACAAAATAACCGTTTAGCCCGGGACCGTTTGGACCGGCCCACTTGGCCCGTTTAGACCCGAGACCGGCCCACTTGCCACCCTTACTTTCTTCTAATAAAAATAAACAAATGTTACAGATCTAAAAAGTAATACAAAAGTACCATACCCTGGAATGTTCGAAAATATTCTACATCTTTCATAAAAAGCTCAATAAAAAATCCTAACATCCTTTTGCATACACTTCCAGTTTAATAGTGATAAGAGGATAGTGTGCCATAATTGTAAATTTTGGTTTTTATTGTCAGCAAAAAAGGACTGCAGAACACTATGAAACAAGTAATATCGAGCAACATTTCACACTTAGGCGAAGGAAGAATGACCAAACGAACCAAAATAAATATGAGAAAATTGTAAGCTACATACTTTTGGTACATAAACTATGTAAAAGCACATTATTGAGAAGATTACATTAGTCCAGACACATGAAATTGAACATCAGATGGGCATAGGAGAAGCCAAAAGATACACATTGTTCGAGTACTAGTTTTCGTTGACATTTCAGTGCTTCTTATTGCCGGTTGCAACTACCCAAGCTTGTAAAATATGGTTCACTATGTCCTCTACGCCAACCCCATGCTTCACCTGCAGTTGAATTAACACATTCATATTGCAATAGGAAATGAAAATATGCCAGACACTTTTATCAGATAGTGAATGTTAAAATTACAATATGAGAGTCAATTTCAAGATAACCCTGGAACATCTTTCCGTGTTGTAGGTAAACACTAAGCAGTATCAACGAACCAACCAACATATATAGTGTCAATTGGATGGCGCACACACTGGTGCAGGATATATTAGCACAAGCCTAGTTCAAGGAATGTGGTGCAGGATATATCAGCACAAGTCTAGTCCAAGCATTCCTACAATCCTATCCTCGCACTCTAGCACTTTTCCTAATCGCACATTTGCACGATAAATGGACCTTGGGCCAAACTCAACCCCAAAAGCTAGCTTATGAGGTGAGGATTGCCCAAGACCATATAAAGAGACCAAGGACCTCAAATCCCTCCGATGTGGGATAACTCAACACCCCCTCACGCCCAAGCATGCAAACCGGAGCGTGGACAACATAAATGGGGGCCCAACATCGGTAACAATAATTGAGATGGGCCTGGCTTTGATACCATGATTTAGCATTGGCTTGAAGTTGAAGGGCTTTGTTTTCCTCTGCAAGTTTCTCCTCTTCCCGGAGAAGTAGACCTAGGAGAGAGTCAGTAGTGAGGTTCTCAAGTTGAGGGTTGATTGCAGAGCGAAAAGGGCCGTATGAGGAGTCTAGGCCAAACAGGATGGAGCTCGTAAGTTCTTCATCTGTGATGGGACGGGCAGCAAGAGCGAGGCTATGGGATATTGTACTTTTCTTATCAACATATTCCATAATGGAGAAACACCCCTTAGTAGTGGTTTGAAGTTGGTGGCGAAGTTGCATCACACGAGCACAGGATTGGGATTGATAGAGGTTAGAAAGATATGACCAAGCTTTCATGAGTGGTGCGGATGTGCATTATGTAGGGTAGGATAGATTGGTTAATGGTTGTTTTCAGCCATAAGAGAAGAATTTTATCCCTCTTTTTCCATGTTGTGAAGGCTGGATTAGGTTGGGGTACAGATGTGGCCTCAACAGAAGTTGAGATAGTAGCTGGTGGAATATCAGATCCATCAAGATGAGCTTCCAATCAAAGGCTTCAAATGCAGAGTATACAGTGGATTGCCAAAGGTAGTAATTGTCCCGATCAAGTTTTATTGGAAGGCCGGGAAGAGCAACTGTTTGGGAGTTGGAATCAATGATAGAAAGATGTGTTGAAGAAGAGGAGTGCGGCTGAACAGCAGCAACATTGGTGCTGGACTGGTTGGAAGTGTCCATGGGAAAAAAATCGGCTCTTGATACTAAATTAGAAGATGAAGAGAAGAGTTCAGCCGTTGGTTTTGTTCAATCACCAAGGCTTCAGTGAATTGTATTTATATTTGAGGATCTACAACAGTTTGAGAATATAATGGCATAATATCCTAACTAATCTAAAAGAGAGGGAGTTTGAATTTACATTTGAAACTTAATCTTATCTACAAAAAGAGGGGAGGCAAGAAGTCCTATTCTCTTCCAAATATAGTTATCATCTAACATTGCGCAATATTCTAGCAAATTGCTACACAGTATGAATGGCCGTGATTTGATTGGGAGTGTTGTTTATACTAATAAAATAGCAAGAAAATTGAATAGGGACGAGAAAAGTAATAAACCTGAGCAAAAACAAAAGGACCACCGTCCCGCATCCGAAGTGCATCACGCTCCATGACAGACAAATCTGCTCCTACAGCTGGTGCCAAATCGGTTTTATTTATCACCTACAATTTAAGAACCAACAATTAAATGATAATTTGACCATGTGTATACAGAAGTTTACAACTGATAAATTTAACAAGTCAAACATGCAAAATAAGAAACATACAAGGAGATCTGCTTGGGTAATTCCAGGACCTCCTTTCCGAGGAATTTTATCACCACCTGATACATCTATTATGTAGATTATGTAATCAGCAAGTTCCCTACTGAAGTTGGCAGCTAGGTTGTCTGCATTGAAGGAAATTTGGTTAAATGACGATAAACCCTAAACTTAAACAGGTTATATCTGATCATAGTGATAATCCTATCTTCTTATCAAACCAAGTAAAGAAGTGTCAGCCAGAGGATCATCATTTTACTGCAAATACAAACTTAAGTATCCAATTTAGTTGTGTCCGCAAACAGTTTCTATGACCAATTACCTCCACCAGATTCACAAAGTAATATATCTGCTTTGTACAAGTTAGAAAGCTCCTCAAGAGGTCCAAGGTTAATGCTTATATCTTCCCTTATAGCAGCATGTGGGCATCCTCCTGTTTCCACGGCTCGAATCCTTTCCTCCGGAAGAGCTCCATGTTTTATTAAGAACTCTCCATCTTCTTTTGTGAATATATCATTTGTAACCTACAAAGAAATGCATCTTAACAAAGACAAAATTCATTCTATATCTTCAAATTTAAAAAAGCTAAGATTTCATGAACATGGACTTGCACTATATACTGCATTACCATATGTTGTAGATCAACAAAGTTAATAGTGGAGCAATATATCAAAACTTAAATAACTCATTGTTCGGAAAGTGATGAAAGAGCATAGAGTTTCTGCATACCAAACACATACTTGCACATATTTTATTTCCTGTCAAACTAAGAAATGTCTAGTAAAGTCCCGAAATTTGGTTTGAAGTTTCTGCAATGTCAATCTGTGATGTAGAGGGAGGAGTTCTTAATGAAGAAAGAAAAAGAACATGACATATCCGATTAGTCTTCAAAAGGCAAGTGTGATACAGGATATTGTTATGTCACTTGAAAGACTCAATTACAAGGCATATTGCACATAATTGCATCTTCATCTAGAATTTCTAATGATGAGGACCATTGATTAAACTATAGTTTTGTACTTCAAATGACAAAAGGGAATCCTCAAATTATAAACACCAATGCGGACTAACACTCGTTCATGAAGTAAACATGGATTATGGAGAAAGAAAGAAAAATCATTTGGCGGTACATACTGCTGCAAGACTGTATCTGTCCCTTAGGAGTTTACATAATACTAGCATTAAAGCTGTTTTCCTGCAAATGAAAGATTGTTTAGTCCCTTTAGATGTCAACTCGTTCAACCAAAATCATACAAGCTAATTACAGAAGGGAAAAAACTTAAGTGAGGAAGAAAAGCAACAGCAAAGACTAACGTAGAATAGAATTCAATTCACCGCAGTACCTTATGAAACTTGAAGTGAAAAAGGAAAATGCATGTGCACACAGTCGGAAACACACACATAATCTGCAGGGTTCTAAGGACTCAATTATTTTTAATCTGAAAAAAAAAGGTGCAATTTTTCACTTGGCTTGCTGCACCTGAAAGAAAATCCTCCTTGTGCTCTCGTTTCTCAAGGTCTCTTTTTTCTACTCACTCCTATCACCCTTTTCAGCAGTTACTACTCACCCCTTCCCACAAAAGAAAGAAAGAAAGAAATAGAATTGTATACGGTCGAAATAGGTTTCGGCCTCCGTACATTTGATCGAGTTCGAATGGTAAGCGATCGAAGTGTGAACTCGAGACGAGTTCCGAAGATAGTACAAACAAGCCTCGAGCCCCAAGACCGATAGAGGAATCGGCTCGGTATCATTATCAAGCCCATGGCCAAATCGAACCGCAAGGCAAAGAGAAGGTTGTCGGAGATGCACAGACCGATCGACACTCGTCCCGAATGTCGAACTCGAACTCAAGACCAAAGGCTCGACGCAATACCGAGCTCGAGCCAGTATCGAGCTCGCAGACAGGACCCGTTGCAACCGCACTAGGGGAGAGAATCTTGGCAGGGATCGAGGAAAAGACAATTTATCATGAGTTCTCCACTATATATTTTTTATTATAAATAAAGTAAGACCCCTCTACTAGAAAGGGGGAATCCTTGTAAGCACAAGCAGGTTGACACATTGTAAGAAAAGACTACTCCTATTTATTGAAGGATAAATCTCTTAAGCCTGTTTTACTCAGCATACTCACTCTTCTAGTTCAATAATTTATATCCCATTTCTATAACCAAGAATCAAAATATTTTCACTTCTACGTACGATTTATGTCAAACTATATCACATATCCTTAGAACTACTTATAAATTCAACTATATCTGATTTTTCGGGTAAACAGTTTGGCGCCCACCGTGGGGCTAAGGATAACAGTGGTTGTTTGATACAAATCAGCAATACGCACCAGTTTACAACTCCGAATCAGGAATGGCAAACTCTCGATTCATGGCTTTACCTATCGACCACGAAGCCGGCCTTCAGGATGAAACCAACAACTTGATACCCAGGGCCGGAAGGCCACTTAACGATGTCACTAAAGCTCGAGTCGAAGTACCCGAAATCCGAGTCGAAGTACCACTAGATGTCAACTCACAAGTGGCTCTTGAGGCGAACCAATGTTCCGAACCGGAAAAAAGCATTCAAGGCGGTACTCGATCCGTAACTCGAGACGCCAATAACGTGGAGGAGATCGGAGTCAGCTTACGAATGATCTTCGAGATGTTACAAGCCCAGCAAATAGCGATAGCTCAGTTGCAGAGCCAAACTCATGTACAAAGCAGGCCGGAACCCGATCCGCTTCGGGAAACCACCCATAGAACGGAGCCAGCCATAGTGAAGTCAAACGAGCAAGAATCGTCGACTACTCCCGAAATTACTAAATTGCTCGAGGAACTCACAAAACGAGTCAAAGCCAACAATAAAAAAGTATAAACATATAATTCCAGGGTCGATCAGATCCCGGGAGCTCCACCAATAATAAAAGGGCTAGATTCGAAGAAATTCATCCAAAAGCCTTTTCCCTCGAGTGCAGCCCCAAAACCAATCCTCAAAAAATTTCGTATGACCGAAATTCCCAAATATAACGGTACGACCGATCCCAACGAACACGTCACCTCGTACACGTGTGCCATCAAGGGTAACGATTTGAAAGACGACGAGATCGAATCCGTGTTATTGAAAAAATTCGGAGAGACCCTCTCGAAGGGAGCGATGAATTGGTATCATAATTTGCCCCCAAATTCCATCGATTCTTTTGCCATGTTAGCGGATTCGTTTGTAAAGGCACATGCTGGTGCCATAAAGGTTGCAACAAGGAAATCGGACATCTTCAAAGTAAAGCAAAGCGGTAATGAAATGCTGAGGGAGTTCGAGTCCCGATTTCAAATGGAACGCATGGAATTGCCACTGGTCACAGATGACTGGGCCGTCCAAGCTTTCACCCAAGGGTTGAACGAGCAAAGTTCAATAGCATCACGTCGGCTGAAGCAAAACTTGATCGAGTATCCAGCAATAATGTGGGCGGATGTACACAACTGATATCAGTCAAAAATCAGGGTCGAAGACGACCAGTTGGGAGCTCCTTCCGGATCCATGCACCAGAACAGGGCAGCTATTAAAAACAAGAGGGATATCGACAGAGAACGAAGGTCGAACAGAGACCGATATCAACCGTACGTCGCAGATCGATTGAACAACGGCTCAGCGCGCAATTGCGCTCGGAACAATCGAAGGAGTGACCGAGGACAAAGTTCTCGGGGTCTTATGAGCAAGAGTGGCTTCGATAAATATGGCGATCCTATAGAGGCATCTCGACTATCGGAGTACAATTTTAGCGTCGACGCATCGGGCATTGTATCGGCGATCGGAAGAATCAAAGATACTAGGTGGCCCAGACCCATGCAAGCCGGCCCTTCCCAAAGAAACCCGAATTCGATGTGCAAGTATCACGGCACGCATGGCCACAAGACCGAGGATTGCAAACAATTAAGAGAAGAGGTAGCCCGCCTATTCGATGAGGGCCACCTTCGAGAGTTCCTCAGTGACCGAGCCAAGAATCACTTCAGAGAGAGGGACGCCAGCAAAAAGGAAAAACAAGAGGAACCTCTGCATATCATTTATATGATCATCGGTGGGGTCGATACTCCACAGGGACCCGTGCTCAAGTACGGCAAGATACCGGCCACAGGGGAAAAACGAACTCGAGGTTATTTACCCGAGGGCACTTTATCATTCGGAATTGAAGAAGCCGAGGGCATCTCTCAACCTCACAACGACGCTCTAGTAATTTCTATCCTATTAAATAAAGCTCAAGTTAAGCGTGTTTTAGTAGATCCAGGTAGCTCTGCAAATATCATCCGATCTTGGGTAGTGGAGCAGCTCGGTTTGCAGAATCAAGTCGTGCCCGCAGCTCGGGTCTTGAACGATTTCAATATGGCCAGTGAAACGACTAAAGGGGAGATTACTCTACCAGTGAATGTAGCTGGAACCATCCAAAATACCAAATTCCACGTAATCGAAGGGGATATAAGGTACAATGCCCTACTCGGAAGACCTTGGATCCATAATATGAAGGCAGTGCCTTCGACCCTCCACCAAGTAATGAAATTTCCTACGTCGGACGGCGTGAAAACAGTATACGGGGAGCAACATGCTGCGAAGGAAATGTTTGCGGTCGATGAGGTAACACCGATACCAACGCTATCGGTCTCGGAAAGATCGAGCGCTAAAGATAGACGAGAAACCAAATAGCAATAACATAGACTATTTTGCTTGGTCTCATTTAGACATGGCAGGGATCCTACCGTCGATAACAACGCACCAGCTGAGCTTGGACCCTAGGTTCAAACCGGTGAAGCAAAAAAGAAGACCTCAGTCCGAGGTAAAACACGTATTTGTAAAGGATGAGGTAACTAAACTTCTCAAAATAGGGTCAATTCGGAAAGTAAAATATCCCGAGTAGTTAGCCAACGTAGTTTTAGTCCCTAAAAAGGGGAACAAACTTAGAATGTGCGTAGATTATAAAGATCTAAACAAAGCATGCCCCAAAGATTCTTTTCCGCTGCCTAGCATCGATCGCATGATCGATGTCACAGCCGGTCACGAGATCCTTACTTTTCTCGACGCCTACTCCGGGTACAATCAAATTCGAATGAACCTGGAGGACCAGGAAAAGACTTCATTTATCACCAAGTACGGAACCTATTGCTATAATGTAATGTCATTCGGGCCTAAAACGCAGGAGCTACTTACCAACGCCTAGTGAATAAAATGTTCGAAGAACAAATAGGTAAGTCGATGGAAGTTTACATTGATGACATGCTAGTTAAGTCCCTGCGCGCAGAGGACCATTTGACTCATTTGCAGGAAACGTTCAAGATCTTTAAGGAAATACAACATGAAGCTCAACCCCGATAAATGTGCTTTCAGGGTTGGATCGGGCAAGTTCCTTGGTTTCAGGGTATCGACGGGGAATCGAGATCAACCCCGACAAAATTAAGGTCATCAAAGACATCACCGTCGTGGATAACGTGAAAGCAGTACAAAGGTTGACCGGGCGAATAGCTGCCTAAGGCCGATTCATTTCAAGGTCATCAGATCGAAGCCACAATTTCTTCTCTCTACTCAAAAGGAAGTACGATTTCGCCTGTACCCCGGAATGCCAACAGGCACTAGAACAATTGAAGCGGTACCTATTGAGCCTGTTAGTTTATAGATATGTATAGTGTAGTCTTGTCCCACATTGGAAGAGGAGTAATATCTCCTTGTAGTGTATAGCTATAAATAGGGACCTCTTGTATTGTATTTATCATCCAATATCAATAACATATTTTCTCCCGTGCTTTCTCACATGGTATCAGGGCATTAATGAGAAAAGATCGATGTGCGTCATTCCAGCGTTAACCGGGAAGAAAGAACTTAGTCATCGTGTAATTTTTCCGGTGACCTAAGGCTTATCTAAGTGAAAGTCACTTTCTGTCGGTGTTGTGCTAAAACCAACACCATCACGAGGTAGATCACCCTCCGACTACCAACCCCTAAAATTTTATCCGGCAGAAAAGCAGCCACGCTCCTCCACGCGCCGGCAACAACTTTTCCAGCGAGGGTTCCGGCCATTTTTTCGCGAAGCTTCTTCAGGACAGTGTGCTCTCCTCAAAATTTCGAGCCTACCCATCTAATTCAAATCAAATTCCGGCCACTTTTATATTTTCCGGCGTGAATAGTGACCTTTCTGGCCATTTTTTGAAAATATTTCTTCAGGA